TAAAAATGCATGCAAAAATTCATAATTATATAATATTATGTTATATTATATTATATTATATTATATTATATTATATTATATTATATTATATTATATTATATTATATTATATTATATTATATTATATTATATTATATTATTTTAGGTTTATGGAATTTAACTACAATCTAGCTAACTGGACAAACATGCTTAATAGAGAGCTAGTGTTTCATCCCATACCGATATACTTCTGAGGAACAGTTAATGTGACTTTTTCAATTATACACAGTTCCTTTTACAGCATTGATGTTGTAATGCAATTAAAATACAAACAGTTAAATAGACTTCAGCATTCATTTAGTTGTTGAAGCGTAAACCGTGATGTAAAGCCGTTTACTCGAACATGCCCATCAGGATTACCAGGCAAGCGCAGAAACTTCATTGAAAATACTGGAGTAAAATACATTTAAATGCTTTAAAGACATGGCACAGAAAAATATAATTTAATGCGGTGCTTCTTGTAAATTCTGAGACCCACTTTATATCATTTAGGCAGTGAAGATTGTTTATTTTTATAGAAAAAAGAGCATAAATGTCCAGATTTTGTAACAGCATACAGTTTACCTGAAGTGTTTGACCCAGGTTACTGACAAATTAAAAGTCCTTATGCAGGCTTCTGTATACACCCTATTGTCATAGAAATATGCACATAATTTTATTTCTGTAATCATTTGTGTAAAATTTAAAAGATATTCTTATGAGTTATGTATTACATAACTTATTTTACTTTATTTATTTTACCTACATTTGAATACATACTTTTGGTCCAAAATTGTCCTAAAAATAATGTCACAATGCCGAAAATTATAACTGATATTTTTATGCAATATATATAGTCTCTTATAGGGCTGGGCCTAAAATCAAAAACTCAATTAATTGAACATTTTAACTTGATTATGATAAATGAACGGTTATTTTTATTTATTTCTAAAAAAAAATGTTGCCCTCATAGTAAAGGTCTGCAAATTTCCGAATAAAGCGCGGGAGCGGTCGGTAACTGGTGTAATTTTGAATTTGATTGAAAGAAACACATACTAAATACTATCTATTATTATTTATTGAACAATGAACAACTAAAATTAATCCCCGCTGCCCACACCTGTCACTACTATTAAACTGACCAATCACAAAGCTTGCACTACATGTCATCATGATGTGTAGTTGCGTTGTTTTGAGAGGTGTGCAGGTATGCAAGTGCACAAAAGCAGTAGCGCACTATACATGTGCACTTGACGCAGAAGTATAAATCAGCCTTAACAGAGCAGGGTCACATAACTCCACACACGGTAAAAGTAAATGAAAAAAAAATCGTCCTGGATAAATTTGATCGATTTTAGGTTATGAATGCCGATTTTGATTACTTTACGATTAATCGGCCAGCCCTAGTCTCTTAAATTTTACAGTGTAATACTTCAAAGGTAAATATGGAGTTTTTTAATGACTATTTTATCTTATAACCATCAAGTTATTTTTCTAAATGAATGGCTTGTGTTAACTTTTCACGTGCACATTTGCACATACGTGTGTTTGGGTTCGTCTGTACCTTGTTTTATCGTGGCCCTTGTCGTTTCTATGGACCTTTAACAGCTTTACTGCATCAAAACAAAGCTCTCAGTGTGAAGAGGCAGTCGAATAATGGAAGCACAGTTCTGTCCTGAGGGCTTGGTAGAACATAACATCCTCCATATATATAAATATATCAAATCATTCACAGCACAAAAGAATATTGCAGCCCTGTCTGATGCTGCTAGCATCTACATTTTTATTGCAAAGTATTCACTGCACAAGTATTCTGCTTCTATACGAGGAAGCGTTAATGATGTCTTATGACATGTCGAATCTAATATTCTCAAGTTCTTAGTACTTTAAATCTGTTCTTATGTGAATGCAATTGGAAACAATGAGCTTCTAGCCAGTTGCATGTTAACTTTACGATCTACATAATGATTTGGATCTAAAAATAAACCTAACGCATGACTTAATGTGCATTTGCTCTGGAAATATGGAATTAAATAAATAAATTTGGATCCTCTCTGATAAGTCGCAGTGGTTTATTTACATCCTAATGCCTGTTTAAAGATCACAAACAAACAATACTCCTCAAAGCCTTAACCTTCGTCCATGATTTCACGCGTAGCAGTTTTATTTGCGCAACTGCCTGACCAGCTTACTGTTTAGCATTGTTCTTTCAGATCATTACAGTGGCATTTGGTCTAATCCTTAATGAGGCCGCTTCATTAAAAGCAGACTAATTGCTGTAAACTCCTGCCTCATCCAGCTGCAAAGTTGTCAAAAGGCTGGTGTGTTTGATCAGTAAAGGTCTGACCTAAGTTTGATTCTAATGAGGCGGGACATCATTGAAGGTCTTTTTGCGGAGGACAGTGCCATTCCCGTCTTAGCAATTATGAACAGGAATAATTAGTACTGAATGTATTAAAGAGCAAATAGCTTGATGTCACCACTAATCTCTCAGCGCATGGTTTGTTGTTTATATAACCATTAAGTTGCCAGAAAATATCAATAGCTAAATTGTGTTAGTCAAAAAAGGCACAGTGTAATGTTTTTGCCACTAGAGGGCGTGTGTTCACAACAAACAAGGCATAATCAGTGTTAGTTCTGACAGCAAGTTTTGATTTAGTCTTAGTCTTTTGACTAAAATTCCATTTTAGTTTTAGTCATATTTTATTCTTCTGAATCATTTTAGTTTTGGTCTAGTTTTAGTCAACTAAATTTCATAAGATTTAGTTTTTTATTAAAGTTGTCATCATCACTTAATTTTTATTTAGTTTTCATCTAGTTTTCATCAGTTTATGACAAAAAATTTTTTTCAATGGAATTAAGTCCAATGATGTGGTGACTGAGGCCCTGTCCACACGAATGTGAGTATTTTCAAAACCATTTTTTTAATGTGGTTTGGCTCTTTGTCAACACAAAAACACAGTTTTTGAAAACACTGGCCAGGGTGAAGATATTACAAAACTCTGTGTAGTCATGTGACAACTACAACCAGAGTTTTTGCATCGTGACGTAAACATGCGCACTGTTTTCTGCTTTCTGATTGGCCAATATTGCTTGGTTCTTATATCTGCATTAACTTGTATGCAATGTACTTGCGCACAAACTTTAATCTGCATTTGGTGTGAACCCAGCATAAAGGGCTTTTATCTCCCCCTGTTAGTTTGGCGTACACTTAACATGCATCACAGAGTGTTTTTGCATTTTCTCGTGGATAGAGTTTTTTTTTTTTAATGAAGGCAGGGAAAACTCTGTTTATAAAAATACCCATGTATGTTTGGACATGGGAGTGTGGAATCACAGGAGTTGTCATCTTCATTACATCCTATGGGACTCCTGCAGAAACCACGTTTATGGATGAGCTAAAGAGTAAATGCTGTTCATGATGAGAGCACTGTTTTCTCATACTAAATAGATTTAGATAACATGCAATAGATTTGGACGATGTTGACCAATTTGGCATTGTACAATGTCTAATGTGAAACATTGCGATGGAATCTTCATCATAGGTGGCAGTAAATTATTTATGAATAATGCATTCATTCATAACAAATTTATTATTTGTAGCCTACCACTTCATAACCAGCAGGAACCAATCAACAGTGTCTGAGGTTTTCGCTAATATGACTAAATACAAACGTGAAAGTGAAGGATTGAAGCAGTGTACTGAGACTGACACGTTACCTGATCGAAGAGTCGTTAGATAGAGACGAGATTAGTATCACGTTTAACAACTATAGTGAGACGCGATCCAGCGGTATATCCTTGATAAATGTCTGACATGCACTGCACTTTGGGGTTTTGTGCTCAAAGCACCCACTGACTGCCTGGAGCTCTGACATGCGCATATGCTAGAGCACATGACAGAGGGTGAGTGTGTTGTCGCGTGATGTGTTTCAGCGGTGTAGTGTGGATTGAGGGCTTTTCAGTAATGCTATATGAAACGCCAGTGTGGATGTGGCTAGTTTTTGTTCTAAAATGTTATTTTAAAACTAAGAAGTATTTTTAAAACTAAGTGTATATTTTTCACGAGCGGGTTGGTGCTGCAATGTGGCAGGGCGGAGGATCGCAATGCTGGCTCAGTTTTGTTTATCGACCCAGCCTTAACAATAACATGCAACACATTTATGCATCTTTGGTGTTTCCCTTGTTTTCTATAGACCAAACTAAAAATCTAGACAGGGATTTGTATCACTAGTTAAATTTGCATATATATTTTTTAGCAACATTTTTAGAAACACTTGGCATAATGCAAGTACACAAATCAGCTAAATATATAATAATGTTCTTTTGGGATTTTGAATAAAAAATATAAATACAGTATTGTGCCTGTACAGAATTTAATCTTTTTTTTCTGCAGCATCTGTTACTGTATAAAAGCAACATGAATTTTGATTACAGGGGCCTAAATTCTAGCCGAAAAAAAAACAAGAAAGACTTTCTCTGAAAGAAAAAATATTATCAGGCATTTTGTAAAAATTTCCTTGCTCTGTTAAACATCATTTTTGAAATATTTAAAAAAGGAGAAAAATTAAAAGGATGGCTAATAATTCTGACTTCAGCTGTACATGTATATTCTGTATTTACAGTACTGTATCTCCATACCTTGATTTTAGTAGACATCCATCAAACCTTAGTTTGCTTTGTCCAGTTGAGAGGTTTGAATCTTATTAAAATGTAGCAGTTTGGTGTTTTGTTTTCAGTCTAAGACTACGTCTGTACTAATATAGAAAAATTTGAAATACTCCACCCTTCCTGCATTAAGATCTATGCTTAGACTTTATTGTTTTACATTTTACGTTACGGCTTTTTTGTTTTTAAGTTTTTAAATGGACAAAGATCAGCTTTGTTTCCATCCATCTATGTTAATGCTAAATGAAAATGACAAGATGTGCATTTAAATCCATATGATGTAACATCATTTTTCTCTTTTTGTTTCTCCTGTAGGAGAGGAGTCTAAATGCGTGCCCATTCCTGGAGATATGCAGAGGAGGTCTGATCCATTACATGTGTCCTCTGGAGAAGCAGGAGGAATTCTGTGTGCCTGAACTTCTGGAGAAGAAAGCATCTGATGACACAGAGGAAACAGTGGAGTGTGAAGAAGCTGATGTCACAGAGATGGTGTCAGGTATGTATTTTTATTACTTTAATCATTGAGCCAGTATGAAGAAGAATTTAGAAATAAACAATTCAACTATTCTGACTGTGTTGTAATACTTTGTTTTAGTTGTTTATAATGTACAGTATATAGGCAACCTTAAGCCTATGTGATATTATGAGATATAACCATATGTTTTTTTTGTATTATTGTATTAATGTTATCTTAATACTGAACAGTAACAATAATAATGGTGACAATTTACAATATTGTATTATTATATGAAATATAATGAAAACATTTATAAAAAAACAACAAGATTTTATTTAAAGTTGTGCAATCAAATTGTTAAAAAATAGTGCTAATTATGTAATGTAATGTAATGTGTATTTAAATGGCCAAACACTCAGAACACTTCACAATCATGAGGGGGGTCTCTCCACATCACCACCAGTGTGCAGCATCCACTTGGATGATGTGACTGCAGCCACAGGACAATGGCACCAGTGCGCTCACCACACACCAGCTATTGGTGGAGTGAAAAGACAGTGATAGAGCCAATGGGTGGGGATGATTAGGAGGCCAATAGAGGGAATTTGGTCAGGACACCAGGGTTACACCCCTACTCATTATGAGAAGTGCCGTAGGATTTTTAATGACCCACAGATAGTCAGGACCTCAGTTTAGCATCTCATCCAAAAGACTGCAGTCACTGACAGTATAGTGTCCCCTTCACTAAACTGGGGGATTTGGAGTCACACAGACCTCAGGTTGAGCGCCCCCTGCTGGCCTTACTAACACCACTTCCAACAGCAACCTAGTTTTCCCATGTGGTCTCCCATCTAGGTACTGACCAGGCTCAGCCCTGCTTAGCTTCAGTGATTAACCTGGTCTTGAGCTGTAGGGTGATAAGTGATAAGGCTGTGGCCATGTCATTATATTTAGACTTTTTTTTTTTATTTATATATTTTTTATTTATATTTATTATTATTATTATTATTATTATTATTAGTAGTAGTAGTAGTAGTAGTAGTAGTAGTAGTAGTAGAAGTAGTAGTAGTAGTTAATAGCATTAACAATTCAGATTTATATGTCTTCTTGTTATTATTATATTAACTAAAATCTAATTATTTGAAGGTTTTACATTTATATTCTACAATGCCGAAAATATCTAAATAATAATTTAGGGCATCACGGTGATGCAGTGGGTAGCACGATCACCTCACAGCAAGAAGGTCGCTAGTTTGAGCCCTGGCTGGGGCTCAATTTTGAATCTTTAGAAATCTATCAAGGGTTTGTTTCAAAACGTTTTTTCATTCATTCATTCATTTTCTTGTCGGCTTAGTCCCTTTATTATTACGGGGTCGCCACAGCGGAATGAACCGCCAACTTATCCAGCAAGTTTTTACACAGCGGATGCCCTTCCAGCCGCAACCCATCTTTGGGAAGCATCCACACACACTCTCACACACTACGGACAATTTAGCCTACCCAATTCACCTGTACCACATGTCTTTGGACTGTGGGGGAAACCAGAGCACCCGGAGGAAACCCACGCGAAGGCAGGGAGAACATGCAAACTCCATACAGAAACGCCAACTGAGCCGAGGTTCGAACCAGCGACCTTCTTGCTGTGAGGCGAAAGCACTACCTACTGTGCCACTGCCTCGCCAACGTTTTTTCAGTTCTCACTATTTACTCTATTAATTTATTTTTGTTCGTGTCATTATACCTATTAAAGCTTCAGATTTTATTCATCATTTCAGTGTGTTGACGCATCTATTTCATAAATAAGTGTTAAAAATCTGGATATTCCATAAACAAAAACCAGCATCACGAAAATCATTCCATTAAAACACTGCACAAGCTGTCTTTTCATGTGTGTCCCTTGTCTAATAATATCACGGTCTAACAAAGTAAAACAGCAGCTGTGCTTTTTACCGCGTTACACACAAAGAAAAAGACAGATGGCTCGTGTTATTACCATGTTCAATGTCCAGTCGTTCAGTCGTCCCTCCTGAGGATCCCAAACTGACACCCTCATTCTGAGCATTACAGATCTGTCAGAACTGGCAAGAAACATTAAAAGCCATTCATCATGTGCGTTTATTCCAGAGCAATCTCACAGCAGTGTGTGGGGTAACGTCTCTGTTGTGAGCCGACAAGCTCGGTGAAACAGAGAAAAATGAGAGTCACAGCAGCGGTTGTTCACAATTCACTCTGTGGTCAGTAAAACAAATGGCTGTGAAGATTGATGCTAAAGTCCGAGGGCTGTTTTCTGCTCCGCACAGCTAAACAGAGTCATTACTCCAGAGGGACAACAGCTAAGCCCAGTGTGTGTGTGTATGTGTGTGTGTGTGTGTGCTTATTTGCTTAGTTTGTGTATGTTTTAATGTGTGTATGTGTGTGCTCAGTGTGTGTTTGTGTATATGTGTGTGTGTTTAGAATGTGTGTGCAGTGTGTATGTTCTGAATGTGTCTCTGTGGTTGTGCTTGCCTGTTTGTTTGTGTATTTGTGTGTGTGTGTGTGTGTGTGTGTGTGTGTGTGTGTGTGTGTGTGTGTGTGTGCGTGCGCGCATGGGTGTCTGTGTGTGAGTGTGTGTTTGTGCACATGTACTTTATGTATGTGTTTGTGCATGTGTGTGTGAATGTGTATGTTTGTGTCTAAGTGCATGTGCTTGTAGGCTTAGTTTGTTTGTGTGTGCATGTGTGTGTGTTTAGAACGTGTGTGCAGTGTGTGTCTAGAATGTATGTCTGTTGTGGACTTGCATATGTATGTGCTAGTGTGTGCTTGGGTATGTTTGTGTGTGAGTGTGTTTGTTCACATGTATTGTATTGTATTTGTGTATATATACAATATTTCCTGCATGTGTGTGTGTTCAAAATGTGTATTTGTGTGTGCATGATCCTTGTGTGTGTTTGTGTGCATGTGTGTATTTAGAATGTGTGTGCTTGGTATGTGTGTTTGCTTATTGTGTGTGTTTGTGTGTGTGTCTGTATGAGTGTGTGTGTGTATATGTGTGATTGTGTTTGTGTGGGTTCAGATTGTGTGTGTGTGTGTGTGTGTGTGTGTCCGCGCCTGCCTTCAGCTCTCTTAATTAAAGGGCTTTCAATCACAGCTGCTCAGCTGGATCTGTCAAGTGCAGGTTGTGAATCAAACTCCTTGGTTTGGAGGATTGCAGGGCAGTTGAGCACATCTCTCTCTTCATCCGTTCCTCTTCTCCCATCTTTAACTTGAACTTTAGATTTTCGCTTTGAGAAATGCCTCCATCAAGGCTTGGCTTTCGGTGCAGGTAGCTGAAGCTGATTGGCTGCGTTCAGCGAGTTCAGTGTGAACCTGCACTGACCTTTGTTCACAACAGTATAAACGCATACACCATTGGATCTGGGATGAATTGTGCTTTCACAGTAACATCATGTAGCCATACTAAAATGTACTCAACATTTGAGAAGACTGTATAGTACCTTGACTGACCAAACAAATATATGTTTTATTTTTATATATACAGTTGAAGTCAAAATTATTAGCCCTCCTGTGATTCTTTTTCAAATATTTCCCAAATCATGTTTAAGGGGTCCTGAAACCCCCCTCTTTTGGTTCAAGTCTACCTCAGAATTAAAAAAAAGCTTCATAATGGCAGTGGAGTGCTGCAAGCAGAGGAAAGAGTGAGCATGACCGACAAAGCAGGGCAGAAAGAGGGGAGTAAACAACTGTTGTCAGTTGGTGCACAAAATGAGAACACAGTCTGCCATTCTCCAGCATTCATGTACAGCTCTCCTAACAAAAACACTTGCTGCAAACCAGCTTAAAGCTTTGCTGTATATCGGGCCTGACAGAATCGCGGGGAAAAATATGCAACAAACCCCTTGAATCATGAAAACAAACACATACGTCCTGTGCCTGACAGATGCAGTTTCACCCAGTCATTGGGTCACAGCTTGGCAGGTCTGCCTTGCTCTCGGAAAGCACTTTCTCTTATGAATAATTAAGAAGCAGGATCTTCTCATAGGATGAGAAAACTTCACTATGAATAACAGTGAGAAACCGAGGCGACATCACTCCACTAGCAGACTTGCGCTACATCACTAATTTTGATCCTGCCGCAAAAATGATTTTAAACCTTGAAGATTAAATTAGCTGATTAAAGCTTAAAATTATCCGGTTTTCCCCACAATTAAAGCTGACAGTTGCGAATGTTGTCTTAACTTATGCTCAACAAGCACAAATCTGTTAAAATGTCCAAAAAAAGTACTCCAGGGTGTTCTGAACCTTTAAAAGAGAAGGATTTTTTTTTCACAGTATTCACTACAATATTTTTTTCTTCTAGAGAGTCTTATTTGTTTTATTTTGGCTAGAATAAAAGCATTTTTTTATTTAAAAAAAAAACAAAAACATTTTAAAGTCAAAATTATTACCCCCCTTAAGCTATATATTTTTATTGTCTACAGAACAAACCTGTTATACAACGACTTGCCTAATTACACTAACCTGCCTAATTACCCTATTTAAGCTTTTAAATGTCAATTTAAGTTCAATACTAGCATCGTGAAAAATATCTAGTCAAATATTATTTACTGTCATCATGGCCAAGATAAAAGAAATCAGTTATTAGATATGAGTTAATAAAACTATTATGTTTTGAAATGAGTTGAAAAAAAATCTGTCCGTTAAACTGAAATAGACTCTTTTCACATTTTCGTGTTTCTCAGCAGGGGAAGTCGTCATAGTTAGCAGTAAATGAGAGAGTACAACAAATGATTATTTTACAATCTTATTTGCTCAAATAAATAAAGGAAAACGCCTTGATGATGTTGTCAAGAACTTTAAAGCAAAGATGATATACTACATATACTGTATAAATGTTCATACTTTGGTTTTTAAATCTAAATAAAACTTTCAAAGATTTAAAATGCTCATGACATGCAGTTAAACAAGTCATAACAGGCTTGTGAAAAGGGTCCATCTGTGAAAAATATATATACACAGGAGGGTTAATATTTCAGGAGGGCTAATAATTCTTACTTCAACTG